AAAAAGGCAGCAATGGCTCTGATACCATGTAGATTCTGAGAAGCAGAAAAGGCTTCTTGTATTTCTGTGTGTTTCTTACATCCCTAAGCAAAGGTATTTATACACTAGGTCCTATGACTATTTTAGGAAAGATTTGATTCTGATTTGATTCTGATTTAGGAAGGGAAATAAATTACAATCAATCAGAATAAAATCAAATCTCAATCAGAATCAAGTCTTTCCTAATGTATACAGACGAGGGTATAATTGCTCTATTTTTAATAGTTTAGGGACAATTTTGGCTCTTTCCCTTGTTTAAATCTCTAATCAATCACATTTGTTTTTGAATGATACTTTCATACACCAACCAGCCAAATCAAAATAATTTTCCAATCTCTCATGTGGATGCATTTCGAGGCTAGAAGGGTAATTTCACAAAAGAAACAAAAGAATGGGAAAAAATGAAAGGCCAAACTTGGAAAAAAATAGGCAAAAGAAAATCACATTGAAAAAAGGCATCTGGAGCCACCCTCCCTCTCTCGGAGCACCATTATGACCTAACATGAGCCCCTATTTACCTCGCCATTCTCCTTCCCACACCTTATCTCTACTCATTGCCCTTCCACATCCCTTTCACTTTTTCTCATGCCCACGCATGGCATTGGCTCCGATAATACAACATCAAACAAAAAGTCTTTGACATTTATAAGAGTAAAAGCAAAGACTAAGACTACTACTTATACCCTTCTAGCAAATCAAACTCAGCTATGAAGCTGGTGGGTGATTAGTTGGCTAAATTAAACAAAACTTAGGATTTGTACATGTCCTAGCTTCCCACCATCCCTATTCAACAATGGGATATCCTAGAACCTGACTTGGTCTTTGGGCCTACTTTTTTTGGGGTTAATTCGTCAAATTCTATCGACTTCATCTCTCCCTTTGTTGGTCTTAGTCGCAATTGACCTCAAATTTTATGAACAAGAAACTTGTTCCTTTGCCCTTTCCAACGCTGGGAGCAAGTTGGCTCAGGCATCAGAAGGCTACAACAGTGATCTCCTCCCAACTGTCGTGAGGAGTGGTAATTGGCATCAATTTGGCTGTTCACTGAAGTTCTAAAGCAGTCAGCTCTTCTCAACCTCCTGTAGAGTCGTCAATATGAGCTTAGCCCGCTGGGCCGGCATAGCACATCCCGTGATTTGATAGGATTGGGCTAAGATTTTTGAAACCCATCTAAGTACGAGACATTTTTAGCCTGACCTAAATAAGCCCATCGCCTATAAGGCTTGAACGAAACTAGGCTGGCTGGCCCGTGGGCCAAATAAAAAATTTATTTAAATGTTATTAGTTTTTAAAATTTAGTTATTTCTTAATGTTTAACTAATTAACAATGCATATGAATTGTAGATATAGATGAAAATAAAGATGTTAAGACCACCTTGTCACAAGTGGATTCGAATGTGCTTGACGTAGATGATGCGTTAAATATGTCACAAGTGCCATGAAAGTTTTCTCTGAGTAATTTGTTTGAGTTTTGACTTTTAACAAATATAATAGTGTCCTCCATTTTTTGTGTTTTATTGTAATCTATTAGAACAATGTCAAAAGTTATTAAGTTTTGCAGAAACTTTCTGTCTAACAAGATGTTTTTTGAATTGCAAATACATTATAGGTTAGAACTTAAATTTTAAAAAATATGAAAATATTTTCAAAAACTGGTGGGCTGGCCCGTGGGAGCCTACAAGTGATGGTTGGCAATCAACGTCGATTTTGGCTCCTCACTGAACTTCTAAAACTGCACATTCCCCTCCTTCCCCCACCTTGCAAAATACACAGCTCTCGACTTCTAAAAATTGCACATTTGTCTTCCATATCCCATCAGTTTATGAACTCTCATCAAATTATTCATTAGACATCTCCTTTATAATACCTCTTATTATATTTGGAAGTCAAAAGGAAGAATATCTATCTCACTGAGACCATTCACACGCTACTTATACAATAAGATGTTCTATCCTTGTAACTTTTGAAGTTTGAACAAAGATGTTTTACCTTCTATTGGCCGATATCACCTTCTTGAAACTTAGCCTCATCCCGTACCTCCCTTTGAACATCTCGACACCTCTATGGTTTTACCCGCAACACCATTAGAAGATTCAACATTTTTCCTACATCTCCCTTCACAACACATATACTGTTGACCTTGTTTTTTTCTGTTGTTTTTTGTAAAGATCAACACTTTTGACTTAGGCTCGTCACTAGCGTCCTATGCTATATTTGGATGTTCACATCTTGCATCGGATCCTTCGCCTACAACTTGTCACCTACACATAACTCACTAGTGGTCGTTTACAAAGGTATCCTACTACTCGTACTCGTTATTACCCATTATGCCTTTTTGGGTCGTATTTGTCCTTTATTTCAATTCTAAATCTAGAGAAGAAACTTTTTCTGATTCAGTCCCGTGACAATTTATGTTTTAGATATGTTTGATTTACACTCTAGTGATATCTTGGAGCTCATTCCTACTTCTAGGTAAATCAATTGTTGGTTGCCAATGTGTGTTACGTTAGTGAGGGTTAATCTTTAAGGACAGGTTAATCGGCTTAAGGCACATTTGGTTGCCAAATGTTATGTACTGATTTTTGTACTAGGTATAGTGATATATTCTCTCCCGTGGCTAGGATTGCTTCTATTAATTTTTTCCTATCCATCATTGTTGTTAGTGATTGGCCTCTTCATCAATTGACATCAAAAAATGCATTTCTCCATCAGGAACTTGAAGATAAAGTATACATGGAGAAACCACCAAGTTTTGTTGCTCAAACGAAGTATAGTGATCTTGTGCTTTGATCACTATATGATTTGAAACAATCACCTCAATCATGGATTGGTAAGTTTAACACAGTTATTCAGGAGTTTGGCATAACCCACAATGAAAGTTGATCATTCAGTGTTCTCTTGACACTTCATCAGATATGTATATTTGGTAATGTATGTGGATGAAATGCGTGTAAGGATTTGGAGGCATTACCAAATTGAAACATCATTCGGTCAGTATTCTTGTACCAGGATCTAGGCAAGTTACATTGAGGTATTTCCTAAGCACTCACCTCAATCCCGATTAGGTATTGCCATTTCATAGAGGGAGTATGCTCTCAATATTCTTGAAAACACAGGCTTGACAGATGTTACACCTATTGACATCATATGTATCCAAATGTTAAGCTTATAGAGGGTGAAGGGGAGCATCTTGGTTTTCCAGGAGGTTGATCAAAAAGTTAAACTATCTCATCATAACTTGACCTGGTATTATGTTCTCAATAAGCATTGTAAATTAACTCTTGGATTCTCTGTGCGCACCTATTGGGATGCAGTGATATCGTTCATATAAATCTGCTTCATGAAAAGTAATGCTCTATGAGGATTATGAGAAAACTGCTGCGTACACGGGCACATTGAGCAGATCAATTTTAAGATGTTATACTTCCAAATAATGCTTTCTAACTGGTATCTTGGTAGAGTAGAAACAAAATGTGGTTTCAAGATCCAATGCAAAAGCAGAATATTGAGTCATAGTACTACGACTTATGAAATTCATATGAATGATGAATCAATCGACAAAGAAAACTGAAGTTCAGAGAGATTGATTGGATGGACTTATGTGTAATAATCAAGTCAATTCATATTGCATTTACTCCAATGCTTCATGAGAGGACCTCAAGTACACAGAAATCATTTGTTATTTTGTCAGAGAAAAGATACTCTCAGGACATATTGTCACACAACTTATAAGGTCAAATCACCAAGTCCCTCAACGGTCTTTGAAATAATTATAAACATAGATTTCAATACACCATCTTGAGGGAGAGTGTTATATAGGTTGTATAAGTGCTCTACATTGGGAGATGTAATTGTATACTTTGAAAAGCGTGAGTATAAAACAATTCAGGCATAAGACATTTGTCTCATTCTTTCTCCCAAATCTCTCTCCCATGTCTCTTATTTCTCACCAAGCAGTTTGAGGGCGATAGACAAGTCATTGTTTGGGTTGTCAACAGTAATTGGAAGGATTATTTAGAGTTAAATGCAACAAATTGAGGATCAAATGAGAATAACTGACAGAACGAGAATCAGATCATTACTAAGGTCATAGTCTTGGGACTCGTTTGGAAAACTTCCCTTCCTTAGGTTTCTAGGGAGAGGTTAGATTCATTTAATCTGTGCATATTGAAGGCCTTACATGCAAAATTTTGTCCAATAAAACGAGCAATTAGTGGGGCTTAATGGAGCAATATATTGAATTTACTTGTTTAATCTAGGTAGCAAAACTTTTATTCATCCATAGCTTTCATTTTAAAAGAATTATTAGAGGATATATGGCTAATGACATCAAAACAAGCATCTTAGTTAAGTATTCCTCTGATCAGTTATGTAAAACTGCAAATGACCTAAGTTGCTCCGACATAGCAGTTTAGGTGCCGCACCCGTGTCGACACGACACTAGTATGGGTGTGGGTATGGGATCCGTTCAGGATCGGATCAAATAATTTTGGGTATGTTGTCCATGACAGATGGAAATATTCGAGACGAGATACAATTTGATTCCCGAAATCAGAACTAAAACGGTGGTAAATTTGAAGAAAATAGCATACCTTATCTAGGAAATCAATCTTTTACTTATCTACAACTTGAGAATAAAAAAAAATCCACACTTTACTAGCTATACGTAAGTATTCCACAAAATTTCTCATAACTTAGGGATATTTTTACATTTTTATTTTTTGAATTATTTTTAGCCGGATCCCTGCACCCGGATCCGGATCTGTACAAGGATCCGTATCCCCGAATTTTAGAATTTACATCTCGAAAGATCCGACCTCTAGATCCGCACTTGTGTCGGATACCGCACCCGTGTCTGAGCAACTTAGCAAATGACTAACGTAGATTTTTTTTTTGGTGGTAGGTAATGACTAGCATTGAAATTACTGGCTTCTAAAACAATATTGTGAAAAACAACTAACCTCATTTGTGATTGGGTGTATAAGAACTATTTGATGTGCATGCAGGTTATATCCACAGTCTCCAGGAACAGGATTCTCAGGTCTTTGATAGCCGCTAATGAAAAAGTAAAGCCAACTAAAATCAGGTCACGATATTAGCAGCATCAGCAACTATTGTTATTGTTTAAAGTGATTAGACAAAATAAAAAAACTCAGGTACTTTCTGTCTCAATTTTAAGTAATTTGACTATCTTCAAAATTAGCATAAAGAATAAAGCTTCTTTTCGTCCAAAATAGGCATAATTTATATGCCTCTAGAGAAATCCGTAAGCTTGTTGTCCATAACTGTCATGAAAAAGGACTGTTGATTACTACTTCCTTGCTTTAATATGATAAAGCTGTGGAAGCAGGGTACTATAAATAGCACACAAAACTACTGTTTTCTACCATGAAAGCAATAAGATGTCTGACCGAGGGACTAATTAATTAAAATGAAGTGCGACAAACAGAACTCTAATTCCATACCCATCTTTCTCAAAACTTTCATCCATTAATTCAGGATCAAAGCACTTTGGTTGCCCGCCAGAAACATAAAGAGGATCACCTGGTAAGATATACAATATCTTATTAATCATAAAAAGAAAGGAACCAACAGAAGAGCTGCTTGACTACTTAACAAGAGCAGAAGAACTGCTGTAGCATGCAGAGAAATGTTACAAGAGCAGTCCTTATTATTTGCAAAAACTAATCGATTTTGGTTGGTTAGTTTGTTCAAGGTATACAAATTAAGATTTCAGAACCAATCTCTTTCAACAGACCCAGTAGGTCCAGGAAGGCAGTAAGATTATTACCTAGAATTCAGCTTCGACAGAATTACAGTTAGCTCAGGCTAACATTCTTAGCCTTTTGCATTGACCACATAGTGCAGGGGAAGCATACACAGTATAAAATCTGAACACAAGATACTTGTTGAGGAAATTACATTATGGATGATTCCATAAGGAAATGGTAATTGTTCCTTTTTTAGCTTGGAAGTGTTTGTCAATGGAATAAACATCTAAACCTGCAATTTTTATTGTTTTTTGATAAGGTAAAGGTTTATTAATTAATGTACCAAGATGGTACCAGAGGAAAAAATAAACCTGCAATATTTATAACTATTTGATAAGCCAATCATATTTGCTTGGCTATAACCCAGAGGATGAAAACACATTCCAACCCCCCACAGTTTCAATCACATACTATCTAGAAGTAGAGGGCCTCGTATCATCTTCATCAGAATGGTCATTGACATTCTGTAACAAAAGAAGATGCATAGTCCACAGATTAAGTTGAGGAAGTATTCCAAGATCATTCTCTTATTATCATAACCCAATGTATAGTCTGAGGTTCTTCAATAACCTTTTCTCCATTACTCGTGCACTAAGGTAGATATTACTGATATGGTTTCATAGAACTAAGAACTATGAACGTGTGCGTTGCACCAAACCAGAGTCGAAGTACTGGTCAACATATGGCTGGTCATCTGAAGTTGGTGAACTTCGTGTGTCATTAATTCTTTTTTTGGGCATTTCTTTTAACAGACAAACTGATTTCTACTTCTATTTTTATTTTTATCTTTTTATGATGGGGGAGAATGTCTAATAAAATTTCAGATTACCAATTAGTGGAAGTCCAATGAAAGAGAGGTGGATACGGATTTGGTGTGGCCTTCCAGATTGAATTTCAACCTGTTGAAAACATACAACATGAAGGAAAGAAAATATTAAGGTTACATCTCCTTCTCCAGGGTAGGGAAGGTTAAGGAAGGTGGCTATAATAATAAATTTCTTATGTCTTTGACTTCTAATACCTGGACCAATGTGCTCTTATTCTCTAAATCTCTTTCAAGAACGTGAACACTGCTCAGAGCTGGCTTCCCTGGAAAAGAAGTTCAGCAAGGAATTAAGCCAAAAATAGTGTCTTTTGAAGCAACACTGGAAATGGTAACTGAAGGAATCTTTATAAAAACTAATCCAGGAGACTGTTTGTCCAAAAAAACAAATTTGAAAACCTGAAGGAGAAGCAACATACAACCCTTTAGCAACTCCAGGATATTTAATCGTCCCAATCGGTTGCTTGATGAGAACCTATCAGTCAAAATTACTTTTAATTTCCAGTAACCCAGTGGATTGGCTACCCTAAAACAGACACTCCAACAGAAAAAATGAAACCAGACAAACTGAGGCGAGAAAAAGTGTTAGAAGGTTACAATGTAAAACATGCATAGAAGGACAAAAGGGGGAATGTAAGGGAGAGTAATGCTATAATATTACCTCATCCATATCAATCACACCACTTACAAGCGCCCGATATATCTTGCTAATTTTCCTCATTTTCTTGCACTCTGAGTTGGTGTATCTATACAAATAAAGTTCACCATCTTTAACATAATGAAGGTGGCTATAAAAGCTTCTTATTAAGAGTAAAATGGGAAGTTTAAGTTAAATTGTTTCCAAATTTAGAAAGCTATTATTCTTTTTGAAACGGATTTAAAAGGAAATGTTGCCACATAAACTGGAACGGAGAGAGTATTATCTTGGGACTGAAAAGTGTTATATGTTGATAGCTAGTGACAATTTAAAGATAGTACGCAGACTAGCATATGCTTCCACAATTTTCTCCAATCAAGAGAGTTTTGCATGCTTAATTAACAATCTCTTTCAGAACATTAATAAGACAACTCGATGCATCAGCATCCAACACTGGAACATAGACATCAAGCTGCGTTTATTATTTTATCACTCTTAATGAAATTAGTAATAGCAGCATAAGGCATGTCAGGAAAATAGGGCATGTATAATTGGTGAAGCAGATTCAACATACTTGTCTTCAACAACCGATGTCCCCTCAGCAAAATATGCCGCAAGGCGAGATTTAGCGAGCTTTGTTTTTGCACAGAGAAGTATTCCTGGAACATCCCATAAAAGGAATAAGATTGTTTTTTCTTGCTTGATTTCAGAAAAAGAAGACAGGGAACTGTCAAAATGAAAATTTTATATTGTTACAAAGTGTTCATAATTCCAGAAAGAAGCGCTGTAGCATGATGACTCGACTTCGTATCGGTTGCTAGATCTCGAGAATAAGATCATGATTAAACTACTACTAGGCCCTATTAAGAAAAAGGGGGAGACAAAATTCACATTTCTTGAAAACTAAAACTAGGCAAGAATAACGTGCTGCCATGACAGAGCACGATTAAAGCTCCACCTTGTGGCAATTACATACAGAATACCATGGAGAGTTTCTTCTAAGATGGACTAATATACTGATTTTTAGATCACGTAAAAATCCAAGAGTGAAGTTGGAGGCCAACAATCATGACACTGATTGTCACATTGAACGACAATTAGCATTGAAGGGACAAAAACTATTTCAAAAACCATATCATTATCACTTCGCTTCAATGTTGTCCAGAATCGGCAATTAATGTGTTTCTGTTTTCTTTGCTGGATGGAGGTGAAAGATAGCTTGAATGTTAATTTTTTATTACATTTACATTTAGTATTTCCATTCAGTAATTCAAATATAAAATTCTCTACTACCATTGATACAGGTTTATGTAATTCTGTTCTTTTTCAATAAAGGAGATACCATGACATAACATTAAAGTCATCTTTCATATTTTACTTGTAGCAGAAATTCATTCTTTATTCAATAAGTAAACTTGGAGCAGAAATTCATGTACCCGTGATAACTCACCTGATGTACCCCTTCCTAGGCGATGAACTGGAACAGGATGTGTTTTTCGACAACCCGATGAAGAGGTTGTCAGCTTGCTCACATGCCATTGGAGTTGTGTCAAGACAGTCCGCTGCTGGAACAACCCTCCAGGAAGAACTTGCAAACCAGAAGGTTTATTTAGAGCAATCTGAAATGTGAGAATCCATAACATGAATATACCTTTGGCCCATATAGGAAAGCGAGAGAAATTCTCTACGAGCTATGCTACAATATGCTCTTTGTTTCACTTGTATTTGTTTCATTCTCTTTATGCATCCACTTACAAGATTTCCAACTGCAGGCTAATTTATTTTAACTTGTTAAAATTTAAAATTTTCGTTCAAGATCAAAACAGGGCCTGTAGAAAGAAAATCGATGAGATTACAACTAAGCCTGAATTCCAAGCAACTTGGGTCACTATATAGATCCTTTATATCAATTATGGTCCATTTGGGCCTATTTTATTCCAATACTGGAATTTGCCTTTAGTAATTTGAATACTCGAAACCTAGGAATTCTTTAAATCTCACATTTATTCCTACACAAACATACAAATCCCTAACCAAACTAAAAGGACTTTTGGCAAACACAGATCCTGTAAGTGTAGCAACAACGACTAAACCTTAATTCCAAACTGTTCGTATTGCTTATGGATATATGCTTCCATTGTGTTATGTTCTTTGTTAAATCTGTATGGATGTGAAGGGATTGTAGGTCCATTGAGACAATGTCCCTCCATTTGATTTTTGGTCTACCTCAGTTCATTTGATAAATCATCTTAGTGACACACCTCCGGATTAGTGCATTTGGAGGTGTACATAGGATACAATCAAAGATCTTAAGCGGGTATATCTAATTTTATCCTCTGTGTATGCTACTTGCACTTTCTATTGAATGTGATTACTTTTAATCTTTTCTAATGTTGTAAGATAGCACATCCATCTTGACACAAGCATTTCTACAATACTCATCTTATGGATATGTCAAACCTGAGAGGCCCTACATTCATCTACAATCGTTCTATAGTCTATGCTTCCCTAAAAGGCTAATGCCATAATCCCGTCTAATCTCACACCAAGTTCATTCTTCTTCCCTGAACTAGTAGTGTATATATTCTTACTTTTACTTATCCAAAAACTCTTGCGATCTAAAATGTTTCTCGATAATTCAAACCATTGATTGACCCTTTCAGTAGTTTCGAATATTGTTTGCAAATAGTATTCACGGTGGAATCCCATCATATATACTATTAGTTAATCTATAAATAGGATAAACTAGTACAGACACAAAGTAGATCCCCGGTGTAAAGCCACAATTATGATATCATAAATAGACTAGACTTATGCTGGTCGTCAACCTACAAACTTCTTCTAAAGAAGCAAAGTAAGGCACTATGAAACATAAACTTCCAAAGCTCAGTGATAAATGCCCCTTTAGTTAAGTGATCACATCACTTGACAGGATTTTGCAGAAGATAACAAGAATTGCATCTAAAGTTTGAGTACCATAGAATCTACCAAGGCGGTTCTTTAATTTTTTCCTGCCAATCAAGTTTTCATAGAAAACCTCTTGAGAAAATGGTTAACCAGCAGCCATTTTACAAAAGTTACAAGGAATTGCATAACTTCTTTGATTTGTTACTTACCTTCTCAAAAGAAATTACAAGGAAATCGCGTTTATTTTATTTGGGTTGTGGGGGGGGGGGGGNTGGGGGGGGGGGGAGGTGGAAGGAATCTAGTGCAAAGATTTCAGTCTTTTACTTTAAGGTTGGTTAAGCCCAATATGTATCTAGGTGTCTTTAACTTTTCTATTATTCACCTATGTACGCAAGTAGAGTCCCCTCTCGACACATTATCAACACACGCATGGACATCAATTTTTCCTCTTGAATTTCCCAGTTTTTCCAGATATTTTTCTATTAACCAATACAAACCTTTTTGGATGAACATACAAAAAGTTTCAAATTCATCAATGATACAAAGAGCTACGCAGTGATGTCAGTCCCACACTTCGATTGGCAGTGTCAATGATCAACATCATAATAAACGGAGATTCTTCCTAGACTGATTAATACGATCACATTAATAAGTTATAAAACTTTGATAATAAAACAGAAGCTCAAATTTAATTTACCAAATAGTCATCTTCAAATAGTACTTGTAACAAGTAAGGTGCATCAGGTTCTCTCCAAGGAAGTCGATGATATACTAGTTCTGTACCAGCTCTGCTCATCCAAAAACTACACTTCAGAATTCAGATATTGAATCACGCAACATAACGTAGGCTAAGTATTGCGAAAAGGAATTCATTTTACAGAAGTGACCTGAGTTCAGTATCTGGTATAGTAACAACTTTACTGTCAACTGTTATCTGCAACAATTAAGCATGACCAAGCTTCATAATCTCAATAGTCCATGTGCATTAAACATCCAATTTAACCATTATCCTTGAGGAATTTACCTGCTTATTTTGAATTCTCTGCAACCAACTGCTTTACAAATTAGTGTCTGAATCTTCAACAATACAATCACAAAAAAATTATTAAATTTTTTGATAAGCTTACCCTTGTAAAGGAGCAGAACTTTTGTACTTTCTGGAGTAGAATTCGATCAGTGTAAGACCTGTAGATTTTGCCAAAAAAAAAAAAAAAAAAAAAAAAAACTAAATTTTTTTAAACAAAAAGGTTTGTGGAAAAATGGGTATATTTTGTGTAAATATACCAGCATCAATGGGTCGGACCATGTCATGGTAAGTTAATCCGTCATTAAATTCCGGCCAGGGCTCTCCGAAGTACGCCGCTGACGGCGGCGCAGCTAGTTCTGCTTTCTTCGACATTCCTAAGTCGGAGTCGGGAAAATGTTGACGGAAGCCACTTACAATGGCATGCGCGTGTATGGCCAAAAATATTTTGTTTTGCCCCAACACTTCTTTTAACAAACACTATTAACTTTTAAAACTTAAATATATCATTTAGACGCAATTCTAATCTAAAAATAAACTAATGAATTATTTCTCAAGATTTTGTGTTACACCGCAAAAACGTTACTAATCAAAAATTATTTTATATGTAGCTATATATATTGAATATCCAAATAATTTTGTTTCAAATTTCTTGTCCTCGAGCTCAGCTTTGCCCTTTTTCCTTTGAGGAATGTCTTAGGGATAAGGCAATATTTTTACTTCGCAGTGGTTTAGTGAAGCAATGGAAAATCTTAATTTAAATCTTATCACTTTTGAGTTCTTAAAGACTCTTTTTCTAAGAAAATGTTGTTAAAGATATAGCATAATTTGCTAAAAAATAAGAGAGAGAAATCCAACTTGTTTGCTTATTTAACTTCCACGAGTTTTGTTTTATAAGCACTCCTACCAAAATTATTATTTATTTGTTAGTGAAAGGAGTATAAAACTTTTCGAACTCACTTCTAAGTCTTGAAACGACAAATTTTAAAATAATAACGTGTGCTTTAAAGTACAAAATTAAATGGTTAAAAAATATAAAAAAATCTAAAAAGAAATATTGAAACATTTAATTTTCTTTCAAGAGATGGGAATGCAATGATTTACATATTGATCTCATGAGTCACCGCAATCATATCATAGTTACCAATAAAGTAATTTTTATGTATTTAATTTTGAATTAATTCAAATGCTTATAGTAATTTTTATGTATTTAATAGACGTCAAACTCACATAGTTACTAAGAACTTTATTATATTTTAATATTATTTTTTCGAGACTTTTACGAGTAATCATGACTTTAAAAGCTACATATATATCGGAGTCTTACTATTTGCATCATGAAAACTAATAAATTAAAATGGATATCGAAAAATATCTCAAGACAATCCAGATATTGGTTGATTGATATGATTGGGTTATTTTCTAGTTCGATCTAATAACAATTTTCAGTCACAACAGAAGGTAATAGAGCATTGCTACACTCAAATCTATTGACCATGGATTCACCGTCAAAGATAGAGCTAGAGTACAAAATATGTGTTCATGGGAAGCTAATAGCTTTTGCTCAGTCAAAACTGTATATTAATTTGATATCGTTGTAGAAATAATATAAATTTTAAATTCTAGATCCGATTTTATTCACCATGCCTTCGAAGTTGAAACCAATAAAGTTTAACGAGTCTACAATTAAAAAATAATAATAATAGAGATACATGGCATGTAATGTAGAAGAGCTAAAGTGAAAACTCCTTTCTATTTTTACCTCCTTCCTCTAACATTCCTTCAACCACATATCATTATTTACCTGAAAAATTGGATAGCGTTAAATTTATGTATGGTTCTAAGGATACGTAAAAACTACATATATATCGGAGTCTTACTATTTGCATCATGAAAACTCATAAATTAAAATGGATATCGAAAAATATCTCAAGACAATCCAGATATTGGTTGATTGATATGATTGGGCTATTTTCTAGTTCGATCTAATAACAATTTTCGGTCACAACAGAAGGTAATTGAGCATTGCTACACTCAAATCTATTGACCATGGATTCACCATCAAAGATAGAGGTAGAGTACAAAATATGGGTTCATGGGAAGCTAATAGCTTTTGCTCAGTCATAACTATATATTAATTTGATATCGTTGTAGAAATAATATAAATTTCAAATTCTAGATCCGGTTTTATTCACCATGCCTTCGAAGTTGAAACCAATAAAGTTTAACGAGTCTATAATTAAAAAATAATAACAATGGAGATACATGGCATATAATGTAGAAGAGCTAAAGTGAAAACTGCTTTCTATTTTTACCTCCTTCCTCTAACATTCCTTCAACCACATATCATTATTTACCCGAAAAATTGGATAGCGTTAAATTTATGTATGGTTCTAAGGATACGTAAAAACTACATATATATCGGAGTCTTACTATTTGCATCATGAAAACTCATAAATTAAAATGGATATCGAAAAATATCTCAAGACAATCTAGATATTGGTTGATTGATATGATTGGCTATTTTCTAGTTCGATCTAATAACAATTTTCAGTCACAACAGAAGGTAATAGAGCATTGCTACACTCAAATCTATTGACCATGGATTCACCATCAAAGATAGAGCTAGCGAGTACAAAATATGGGTTCATGGGAAGCTAATAGCTTTTGCTCAGTCATAACTGTATATTAATTTTATATCGTTGTAGAAATAATATAAATTTTAAATTCTAAATCCGATTTTATTTACCATGCCTTCGAAGTTGAAACCAATAAAGTTTAACGAGCCTATAATTAAAAAATAATAACAATGGAGATACATGACATGTAATGTAGAAGAGCTAAAGCGAAAACTGCTTTTTATTTTAACCTCCTTCCTCTCACATTCCTTCAACCACATATCATTATTTACCCGAAAAATTGGATGACGTTAAATTTATGTATGGTTCTAAGGATACGTAAAAACTACATATATATCGGAGTCTTACTATTTGCATCATGAAAACTCATAAATTAAAATGGATATCGAAAAATATCTCAAGATAATCCAAATATTGGTTGATTGATATGATTGGGCTAATTTCTAGTTCGATCTAATAACAATTTTCAGTCACAACAGTAGGTAATAGAGCATGGCTACACTCAAATTTATTGACCATGGATTCACCATCAAAGATAGAGCTAGAGTACAAAATATGGGTTCATGGGAAGCTAATAGCTTTTGCTCAGTCATAACTGTATATTAATTTGATATCGTTGTAGAAATAATATACATTTCAAATTCTAGATCCGGTTTTATTCACCATGCCTTCGAAGTTGAAACCAATAAAGTTTAACGAGTCTATAATTAAAAAATAATAACAATGGAGATACATGGCATGTAATGTAGAAGAGCTAAAGTGAAAACTCCTTTCTATTTTTACCTCCTTCCTCTGACATTCCTTCAACCACATATCATTGTTTACCCGAAAAATTGGATAACTTTAAATTTATGTATGGTTCTAAGGATACGTAAAAACTACATATATATCGGAGTCTTACTATTTGCATCATGTAAAAACTAATAAATTAAAATAGATATCGAAAAATATCTCAAGACAATCTAGATATTGGTTGATTGATATGATTGGCTATTTTCTAGTTCGATCTAATAACAATTTTCAGTCACAACAGAAGGTAATAGAGCATTGCTACACTCAAATCTATTGACCATGGATTCACCATCAAAGATAGAGCTAGCGAGTACAAAATATGGGTTCATGGGAAGCTAATAGCTTTTGCTCAGTCATAACTGTATATTAATTTTATATCGTTGTAGAAATAATATAAATTTTAAATTCTAAATCCGATTTTATTTACCATGCCTTCGAAGTTGAAACCAATAAAGTTTAACGAGCCTATAATTAAAAAATAATAACAATGGAGATACATGGCATGTAATGTAGAAGAGCTAAAGTGAAAACTGCTTTCTATTTTTACCTCGTTCCTCTGACATTCCTTCAACCACATATCATTGTTTACCCGAAAAATTGGATAACGTTAAATTTATGTATGGTTCTAAGGATACGTAAATTTCCTTCGATACAAAGATAACAATATAAGTATTTTGACTATGAGAATAGGAAGAATGAATAAGATGAATTAAACAAGCACAAGGAGATATCTTTTATCTATGAGAAAAAAATCTATTTTTTTCAATTTATTTCGTGCCCCCATAGCTTACAAGGATCACATCTTTTATAATAGAGGGTCATTGCTTTATCTATAATAAAATAATAAAATAATACATATAGTGGAGGACCCATGATGATTTATCTCTTCCTCGATTCCCGTCAAGATTCTTTCCCTTGGTGCGGTTGTAACGGCTCTTGTCTGTGAGTTCGATACTGGCTCAAACTCGATACTGTCTCAAGTTCGTTACTGGGTCGGCCCTTTGGTCTTACCTCAAGTTCGACCTTCGGGATGGGCGTGGTGCATTTCCGACCTTGAAGCGACGCCTTGCGGATCGATTTGGTCATGGACTCGATAAGATTATCGAGCCAACTCCTCGAACAGCCTTCGGGCTCGAGGCTCGTTTGTACTACCCTCAGAACTCACTCCCAAATTCTACTCCGGTTTCTTGCCATTCGAACTCGATCGAACGTAGGAAAGCCTAAATCTATTTTGACTGTATACAAATAGTCCCCTCGATTCTCATGAAGGATGCGGTGAGAATCGACATGATCTTCGACGGGTCTATCGGGCAACAAGCTAACATTTTATCAGGGGTCGATTATGACGTATGTGATAGATATCCCATCGATTTAGTCTTTCAAGGTATTTAATGCTTGTCAGATGGTGGTCGGCCACCTCTGATATTGAACCGTCATGATGCGAGCCTATAAATAACCCTTCCATATAACTTTTACCACTTTTGCGCCTTCTCTCTTCCAAATTCTCTTATTTTTCCTCTCTATTTTGTTGCTTTAGAGCCATCTACACTAGAGTTTTGGTGCCATCAATTTTTCACTTTCCTTTGCATTCCTTCCTCTCATATCAATGGCGAAAACTTCAAAAATTATAACTCAGAAGGAGAAAGCTTCTTCTTCACGGTCGTCCGACGACAAGGCGCCGGTGGAGAATCCTTCATTCGTTCCGGGTCGATGCGAGCATGTGTTGATGTACATGTGCTCTAAAATGGAGGGTCATCTCGAGGACGTCAGAAAAGGCTGCAACTGGGGTCCTGAGGTCGTGTTGCAAATTCCATTCCCCGAAGAGAGCGCCATCACTCATATAGAGGGGTTTTTTAAGTGTTTACACTTATCCCTTCACGTTGGGACCCGTCGACCCAGTGGTTATCGATTTTTGCAAAAGATATCAGGTCACCCTCGGTCAAATTCATCCCTTTTTATGGCGTATAGTGATCTTACTTCGCTTCTTCTCTATCAAAGCCGGGGGCTGGATTTTTCTCTGA